TTGTGCCTGTGCAATACTCAAAGTTAGAAAGCGCCGAACAACCGGAGATGACATACCTAAGTGACTCACCGGGATGGCGACAAGCTCGACAGATGTCGACGGTGCCACCCTTTAGAATGTATCTCCAATATTTGTTGGTCTTAATAACCTGATCCTGTATCGCACAGACAAAACCCTCAGTTTCCCCAGAGAGGTTACCGAAACTTAGCCAGTGGAGGGAGGTGACTGTGTCTACGAAAGACTCATGTAGAGCCTTGTAGAACCTCCCGTGGAGCTCCTTCTCCTTCCATACGGTCTCCCGGTCGGAAGTGCTCTGTACTGCCGGGTCTTGCCATTGCTCGTTGGCTAAGGATAGAGGGGTAAGTCCTTTATCACAAGAAATAACGTCCATATAGTATGGATCATCCGCTCTCGTCAAAAAGTAATTACGGAGGCTGCACACTACGCGATTATGCATGGTAAGCGCGCTTAAAAAGCCGCGGCAAGTACAGCCTCATTACTGACGATCTCCGATGATGCATCCTGTGGGACGTCATAATAGTGCCGACTTTTCTATCCAGAGCGATCAGTTCGGTCTGGGTCCATCTGAGTATGCCAAAGGTATACATGAGAACAGGCATGATCCAACCGTTATATGCGTGCGACTTATTCACACCGGACAAAAGGCTGTTAAGCACTTTGGTCAAGCGTGCATAAACACATCGCAAACTGACTGTTTCATACCCGCCTCATCTACACCGATGTTCTGTGACATACCCAGGTATCGGTATGTTTCAGCCTCGGAAAGAGTCCTTATGTTGATGGGCATAGATAAGTCTATGCCCTCAGAGTTAGCAACCCTTCCCCTTTCAACATGGATGACCGCTCACTTATCCGTCCCCAGCTCCATTCCAATAGAACTACTAAAATCACAAGTGATGTTTAGCAGCTCCATAAGATGGGAGGGACTGGAGGCAAATAACTTAAAATCATCCATATAAAAGAGGTGGGTCACTTTTGTCCCTCCTTTTTGAAGCTGAAATCCCCTCCCGGAGTCCTCCAGTAAGGTACTGAGAGGGTTCAGGAAGAGGCAAAACCAGATTGGACTCAAACAATCGCCCTGGAAGATACCCCTTCTTATCCTTATGCGGCTTTCCGCATCCGTCATCCGCTCGCTTATATGACAAAGGACTGTACTCCATTGCCCCATACATTGCCCGAGGAAGTCTCTAACTGTACAATCAACCTTGTACAGCTCGAGGACCCTCTTTAGCCATGTATGGGACACAGAGTTGAATGCCTTTCTATAGTCTATCCAGGCGGCGAAGAAGTTCCGACGGTTGCGTTTAACCACTTTGCCAATGACCGCGTCAATGAGCAGTGGTTCCTTGGTTCCACAACCACCGCCTCGGCATCCATTCTGAGCACCTGACATCACCTGGTTTAAATCCAGGTGACGAATGATTCGCGTACTCAAAATGGATGTCAGTGTCTTATATATGGTAGACACGTAATGGGGCGGTATTTGCTCGGGTCTGTGGAATCCCGGTCTTTAGGAACCAAATGAGTGATCCCAGTAGTGAAGAGGCTCGGGAGCGACTTTTGGTCGAGAGCCTCTTGAAACTGTCGGGCGAGCACAGCGGAACACACCACGAACCCCTTCAGCCAGTAGTGATGCAGTCCGTCGAGTCCCGGACTTTTCCAGTTCGGGGCCCTACGGACCGCCTCAGCTACTTTATCCGGCGTTATTATGACGGGTTCCATGGGTGTAACATTCGCACACTGACTCTCAAAAACTTCCGTCCAAAGGCCCTCTGTGTGGTTTACGGGCTCCGACCACAGGCCGCACCAGAATGTGACAGTGTCTGCCTGATTCGGTGCTGGGCCCGTTACACGTACCATTTGCCCCTCCAATGATTCATAGAGCCTCTTCTGATCACTCTGGAAGAGACGATACTGGTTGAACCGTGTCGACCTCTCGGTATATCGCCGAATCCGCTTCCGCCAAGCAGCGATTCTCTGCTTCAGGTCGTCTATGCGCTCCGTCAGTTTTTGCGTTATATCCGGCTGGGACAAACTGATATTTGTCCCAGCAAACGCCATCCTGACGGTGCGTACAATTCTCGGCCTATTATTGCCCGACCTGAAGCTTATCAGTCTGCCGATCAGGGCCCTTGCCTTTGCGATGCGGTCCTCAATCCTTCTTCTCCAGGCTGGGATAGCGCTACTTTGCCTAGTAATACGTCCAGCCGTGGGAAGCTTGGCACCAATAATACGGCAAACTGCCAGTGCGGCGCCAAAAAGAATTTATTATTATTATTATGGCCATAGAATACTCTTAAACACAATGTGTATTTACAATTATTATTATGATGGTCATAGGTAGGCAATTTCTAGACGAAATCGAGCTTTTCTTCGTTTCAAGAGAGATCGTCTGTAGAAAATTGGTTATCTTTTAAAGCAGCCAGGAATATGTGAAAAAAAAACCAACATTTCGCTTCTGTAAAAGCATTTGACCCTACAATTCGCTCTCAAACTATGACTTCCATTGCTTCTGTGCAAACTCCTAACATTCCTACCTTTAATTTTTCTCCTGTTTCTAGGATGATGTCAAAAAGTCTATTTTAGCAATCCAATCCAAGGCGGTGGGCTATGATGAGATTAGTAGACATATGGTAGTATTTATACTTGAGATTTTTCCGGCAATTTCCCATATTATCAATTTTTCCCTGGATTCAGGTCAGTACCCTAACATATGGAAGAAAGCTTTTATAAAGCCTCTCCCAAAAGTTCCTACTCCCATTCTTTCCAATCATTTTCGCCCAATATCAATTCTACTCTTTCTTTCCAAAATTTTAGAATCCTGTGTTTACAAGCTCTACTTTCATCTCTACTTTCATTTTGAAACATAATCTACTGAGTATATTTCAGTCTGGGTTTCGCCCTGGTCATAGTACCACTACTGCTTTAATTAATGTTACTGATAATATTAGACAAGGTATGGACGAAAAAAAGATAACAGTACTGGTACCAGTTGATTTCTCAAATGCTTTTAACACAGTTGATCATAAAATCCTTCTTTCCATACTGTCTCATCTGAATTTTGGTCCTACTGCTTTGGAATGGTTTGCATCTTATCTTCGCGGTCGACAGCAGTCAGTCTTGGTGGGGCAAATGTCCTCAGCTTGGGCTGATGTGGATGCTGTTGTGCCGCAAGGCGGTATTCTTTATCCCATAATTTTTTTCAATTTTTATAAACTTTATTACCTCCATCCTCCATTTGTACGCCGATGACCTTCAGCGTCATGTGCAAGCTGAAATTGGAGATATCTATAATGGGATCAAAAACTTAACGACAACTTATCACCTATCAAAGATTGGTCTACTTGTTATGGAGTTTTGGTCAATCCTTTGAAATGCCAAGCTATACTGGTGGATAGCTCAATGATGCTGGTTAAGATTAATCTGGCAGATTTACCTCCTATTTACTATGATAGTATTATAATTTTGTTCAGTAATTCTGTTAAAAATCTTGGCCTACATATCGACAACACGTTGAATTGGAGAACCCAGGTTTCAGAAGTGAGTCGTAAAGTCATTGCCACGTTATGCTCTCTGTATCGTCTAAAACATTTTCTTCCCACAAAATTTAAGATCATGCTTGTCCAATCTCTCATATAACCCATAATTGATTATTCAGATGTGTGTTATCCAGATCTATCCCACAATCTTCTTAACAAGGTGGAACACCTTCTTAATAACTGTGTAAGATTTATTTTCGGGCTTCATAAGTATGACCATATTTCGCAATATACATCTAAGCTAAATTGGCTTACAATCCGTCAGAGGCGCAATTCCAAAATATTGCTTGTTTTTTTCCATATTAAATGACCCATCTTCGCCTTCTTATCTTAAGAGTAAATTTCACTATCTCTCCTCATCTCATAATAGGGTCCTACGTTCTTCTTCTAACAATAAAATCTGTATTTCTGCTCACTTCACCGAGTTCTATGGTAACTCCTTCACAGTTCAGGCTACACGCCTTTGGAACTCCTTGCCCGATGACATCAGAAAAGCACCCAATAAGTACGCTTTTAAAAAATTGGTCCGTAATCATCTATTGAAGAGAACGCATTTTACATGATTCATCCATTTAATATGTATTGCTAATTAAAATAGGTATTTGTATGTACTAATCATATATGTATTTAAATATGTATATTTGCATGCATATATTTGTATATATATGTCATATATTTGTATATATGTGTGTATACGTCATATATGTACAGTTTATTTATTGGTAAAATGTATGTATTACATATGTAGTTAATTATCATTTTGTGTAGTGTTATTTTATTCTACATTGCCGCACCTACGTCAAATTTTCACCACTCCTTGGGTTGACTGGTAGAGAATGCCTCAAGGCATTAAGTCCGCCCTTTGTATTCTTTTGTATTAAGGAATGCAATAAAGAATAAATGATAATAATGATAATAGAATACTGTAAAACAAAATGCAATAATTTCTATGTTGAATGACAAAAATATATCTATCTATTAGCTCTATCTCACTATATCTACTGCCTCTAAAGACAAAGTCGGTATATTTCACACAACACTATTACTCTCTACCGAGTTATTTCACCTATTATTTATTACGTGAAATTTATTGCCTGTATCTCATAACCTTAATTCTCTAGCAGATAGTAGTTTCTATAATTTAGTTTTATAACTGTCCCAACATTATAACTGGCTAAGTCTCTGTTACTTTATATCTATTTTAAATTGAATTCTTTATCGAAATAACTGTCCTGTATTAAGGTAAGTTGGTTAGCAAGCGATTTTAAGTTAAGTTCCCGATAAATTAATGATTTAAAACTTTTAATATAACTCAGGACTAGAAACTTGGTAAAAATTGTTGCCATATTGAATTATAATTAAGATTGATAATATCGAGTAACATAAAATTATTTAACAAGGACTTAAGGACTTCCTTTTTAAGGGCCATTAAAATCTTACCTTTTATCAAACTCATGCAGGTCTTCCGAAGTAAACTGGCTGGTGACATCCAGGAGTTGCTGTATGTGATCACTGCAGACTCTGCTCTTCCGTCTTCCAGAGTCCTCGCCGTCGCGGACGAGGATCGTGGAGCAACCTCCATAGTCGAGAGACAGTGAGGGTTGTTGCACCACTATGGTGGTCCGCCCCGCGGGTATTGTGGTGGTGGCAGAGTCGAGGGGATTCGCTGTCACGTGGACTTGTGCGGCTGTGTGAAAAAAAAACATTAATGCGTGTAGTGGCGGTGTAAGAATATCCAGTGTCGTAAAAGACGACAGAGGGAAACTGAAGCAGAAGATGGTCAGCAGCATCTTCTTGATAACACCTCAAAATAATAAAAACTACAGTTGCCAACCCGCCTGCCTCAGCAATTATTACAAAATCCCCTTATAAAGCAATCTATGGGGGAAGCATTTTTGTAGGATAAGGGTGACCAACGTGCACACAGTTCATTTGACACAACTATAACAGTAATATAGCTGCAGCATGCCTCTACCACTGCATTTGTCTGTTTTATAGATTGTAATGGATGTATGTATGTTGTCGTTAACACTATTGACCCAGGAAGAAATTGATTATTAATTTAGATTCAACCGTATTTACGAGTACCAATGTATTTAATCATTAACTGTTTCGATAGTAATTTGAACATGTATGACGGTTTATGCTGTTAAAGCATTTGCTTTGGCTGCCTTTTTAGAGTTCCGTGGTTACACAAGAAGGAACCCTTATAGTTTCACCATGTCCGTCCGTCCATGGTTTTGCTCAAAGACCCTAGGTGCTACAAATCTGTAATTTGGCATAGTTATTGATATTAATCACGCCTAGGAAACTGTGAAATTAAATCTTAAATAACATTTTATTTTGAGTACTTCCCATATATAAGTATGTTGAGGATAATTTTTTTACCCGTCTATTACATCATGTAGGTTATCGTTAGACAGGTCTTTTAAAAAACACTGGGGCTATGGAACAAAATCTTTTCGATTCAGGGGTCCGTTTGCGAAATATTTCGCTTTAAAGTGGTATTTTTCATTAGAGTCATGTGTCCGGCCCCTCTACCCACTAAACTATTGTATATGGAAATGTTAAAAGTATACACAATAGTAGTATATATGATGAAGTTAAAAGGAAATCTATCACAGCTAAGTAAAATCAAGAGGTTAACGAGTAATAGTCGACAAAGTTATAAAATGCACTTTCATTAGTAAAAATTTCGTTAAACTCCATAGACAATGATCTAAAACCAGCTGCATTATAACAATGTAATGTTATTGTAAACTGTTAAAAATAATCATTTTATGAAGAAAACAACTTATATGCATTCTACTATTAGCTTTACTCTTTCATTTGCGAGATAGATGGGGTAATATTTTCAAAATCGAAAAGTTTTTTTAAAATCTTTTTTGAATACCATTGCCTATAAGTCTGATTTGAAAATAAGTCCTTTAGTTACAATCTACTTATTTGGGCCTATTTTTAATCGTTATAGCGGTTAAATTGCAAACTTACTTATTAAGTGGCGAAGCTTGCGAAGTCACTTATTGATTTCACGATGTCTGTCCGTCTGTCCGTCTGTCCGTCTGTCCGTCTGTCCGTCTGTCCGTCTGTCCGTCTGTCCGTCTGTCCGTCTGTCCGTCTGTCCGTCTGTCCGTCTGTCCGTCTGTCCGTCTTTCCGTCTGTCTGTCTGTCTGTCCGTCTGTCCCACGATTATCTCGAGAACGGTTTTGAATTTTCAAATTCTGTTTTCAGCAATCGATTACTGATCACCCAGGCATCTGAACCTCCTATTTTGAAACTGATTGTTCAACGGCAACCGTTAGAAACCGCTACAAAGCTGATTGCTTCGCCACTTTGCTATGCTGTTAGCTTGCTAGGTGTTAAGTGATAAATTTTATAATGCATACTGTGTACAACATAAGTCATGTTACCTTTGCCTGCCCTATAAAAAAAAAAAGGAATCCTTGCTGCTTGGTGTGTTTTTTTTGTATCTATGCCTCCCGGAAAATGTTTTTGTCATGTCATAGTTTTTTATTACTGTTCTCAACTTCTCATCTCTGTGCTTTATGTTAATACATAATAGAAATAAAAAGTTTATTTAGAAATCTTACTTAATATTATTATTTTTGGTCCCATAATAATAGGTTATGGGCCCAGGTACGCTTCGTAATAAACTGAGTAAAGAGCAGAACTTATAAGGTGAAAACAAGCACGTGTTCGATAGTGAAGAAAACAAAATGGAAGTCACAAATTCAATGACTCTTCCCCCCGGACCGCAGTCAAGTGCAGACGTGCTAACTTATATTATAATAATAAATTCAATATCGTAATTAATTAATTCACTTGTCACAAAAATCCATAGAAAAAAATAGGAGTGCATAACTGGAACATATTACGGCCATCGACACTAAAGCCCCGAAGCTCCGCCCAGTATCTACGAAGCAGGGACAACTAGCTCCGCCCTATAGACCAATCACTACGTACTTCTGCATTCCTGGTACCGTAAGTGCATAAAAACGATTGCATTGTGTTTGAAATTAATTTTTACGACGAACATTCGTCACTTTAGCATCCCACCCACACTACCTTGCAATATATACGCATCAGTGACAATATACTAGTGCCTCCCTTCGGACCAATCACTACGTACTGCTGCTACCCTAGTATCGTAAGCGGTCAAACCGATAAGAAATGTATCATCGTACACCTGAAAAATCAAACTCCGAATCCAATTTACGACAAATTTCAAGTAATACGGAATCTTCGCCATCAGCAAGCTTTACTACGCGTACTAAGCGGAAACGCTTGGAGGAGGCCCCCATAGACCTCTGCGAATTCAAAAATGAAATAAAAGACATGTTATCCTCATGGATGTCTCAACAAAATAGTGAACGAATACAAATTACGTCTTCTCTAAAAACTATTGAAGACTCGATGGCATTTATGTCTGCACAATTTGAAGATATAAGGAAAAAAATGGAAGAAATGGAATGCGAAAGACGGAAGGATAAAGAATACATATTCATATTAGAAAATAAAATCGAGGACTTGCAAAAATCGTATCGGAAATGCTCAATTGAACTAAAAAATGTGCCGAAAATGGAAAATGAATCAAAATTATCACTTATAAATATGGTTACTCAATTGTCTACATCGCTCAACGTTGAACTCCAAACTAACGATATAAAAGACATTTATAGATTCTCTAACAAAGGTGACAGAAAGCCTATAGTAGTCGAATTGTCCTCCTACATACAGAAGACGAATATATTGCACGCTGCAAAAAAATATAATTTCCAAAATAAAAACAATAAACTAAACACGCAGCATTTGGGATTAAAGTGCAACAACACTCCAATTTTTCTATCCGACCATTTAACACAAAAAGCAAATAGACTTTACTACTTAGCTAGAGAATTAACCAGAACTCAGAAATATAAGTTTTGCTGGACATCGCTTGGAAACGTTTTGGTGAGGAAGGATGAGAGCTCACCGATCATAAAAATAGAGAACGAATATCAAATCAGAAACATGCTCAACAAATGACTATTTTTATTTATAGCTAAAACATGTTCTTGGTTTGATATTATTATTTTTTACCTCTATGTCTATTTTTATTTTACATTTTGCGTTGTTTACGTTTTCCATATTGTATATAACTATCTATACTCATTACGAACACTGCCATTTACACAAGTTCACACTTTGCACATAACACTCAGAAACATAAAAATTAATCATCGTACCCTTTTATACACATCATATCCTATATTAAAAAAATTGCTGTTCTTTCATCGAAAATTAATAATAAAGGTTAGCAATTTAAGTTCACTCCTGAACGAACATAAAGAAAATATTTTCCATATTGTTTCACATCGTAGTAACTTTAGTGAATACTCTTCTTATGCAAGCCTGAGTAATACACGTAAAACTGTTCGTTACCGGACAAGTAGGAACGAAAGCCGTTCTCTGACTAATAATGGATAGTTTGTTTCAAACCAATACAGATATAGACAATACTGAAGTTGCCCAGGCCTTTATGTGCAGGCCTGAGGATTGCCATTCACACATTACGACATTTAACCATTTAACCATTCTCACTCAAAACATAAGGAGTATTTATAAAAATTTAGACAATTTTCAAGTAACTTTGGACTCACTTAACATTCATTGCGACATACTAGTAATGACAGAGTGTCACATTTCGAAAAATAAACCCATTCCAACACTTAATAATAACTATAATACATATTTTACACAAAATATTTTAAATCAGTGTGACGGTGTGGTATTTTATGTACATAAGAATCTTAACTACAAAATATCAGAACCTTGCATTAGAAATGCCTCTTGTCTTGTACTTACCCTTATAGATACAGTTCTAATAGGTATATATCGTACACCTTCAATACGAAACAGTGACGACTTCACATCATCTCTTCAAACCTTACTACATTGTTATAAAAGTTATCAAAACATCATTATAACCGGTGACATAAACATAGATATCAAATTCGGTTCCATAGACACAAACTGCCCCAATTATTTAACCTCACTTGCTTACCATGGATTACTTCCTGCACATAGGCTTCCAACTCGCGACAAAATGTGCTATGATCATATGATGTTAAAAACAGTTCACCCAACGAAAGCTCTCGTACTAACTAATGCCCCTACTGATCATTCTACTGTTCTCTTAAACCTAATGTATAAGCCTATACGCCGCAATGTTTCGAAAACTAGGGTTTCCGTAAATTATGTAACAACTCTTGATGAAATAAAGCCCAAGCTTATAAAAATATTAGACATACAAGACCCAACACTGGCTGCTGATGCTTTGGTTAGTACAATCTCGGTGGCAATGAAGAATAACCAATCGATAACCACAATTCCTGTTAGAAAACGCTGTATCCAGCCATGGATAACACCTGGAGTGTTGCGATGTCTTCGAAATCGAGATAAATTACATTATAAAGTTAAAAAGTATCCTGATAATCAAATTTTAAAAATAACTTATACACGCTACAGAAATTACTGTCATAAACTTGTCCGGAAGCTTAAAAATAATTATGAAAGGAAAATATTGGATAATGCCAAAAATAACCCGAAAGTTCTATGGAAAAATATTAAATCAATTTGCTATGTTAATAAAGATAAAACTGACGACACACATAAACTTACAACTATTGCGTCTTCCCCTGTAGAATC